CGTACAGTACATGATGAACATGTGAACAAAAAAAAAAATGCTGTGTCATCTTTGTGTTGAGCAGTAGATGGTCAAAATGGCAGTAAGCAATGATGGATGATGAATCAACGCTGTTAAAATCTTTGTGGTTACATCATGTCTGGCATCCCTAAAACCTCCTGAGTCACAAAGAATAGAGAGAGAGAGAGCGCTATTGTCATGTCGTACACTAATGCTTGGTAATCCTCAGTACAGGCTTACATAAAGGGCTCTGTCAGATCTCATAGTGTCTCTGTGTGAGGAGAGCAGCACATTCAAGACTTTCAAAAAGCCTCTTCTGCCTGATCATTCTTCACATCAGATCCATGGGCCTTTGCTTAGGTAACTTAAAAGTGCTCTTTGATATTCATTCATTAATCTAAGATAAAATAATTCAGAAAAGCTTCCTTTTGCATTTCAGAGGGAGGGCAAAGAAAAATGGACAATAAAACATTCTTGCATTTCTCAATTTCCATGCTAATGACTGTATAAACCGGTAGCCCCGCCTACAACTCACACCATTGGTTGAGCCAGAATAGGACAGAACACGCCTCATTTGTGAAATACAAGCACAGCAACTTCCTTTCCAAATAATTCGTAAAACTATTCTTATGCTGTTGAATATCCAATTCGAAAAATTCAAAACCATGTCGATTCTCCAATTGTCTGATTGATCAATTTGTTCTGATCATTTCTCAACCATGCAATCATTCACAGTCATGCAATTCATAAATAATTTCTGCCTGTTTCATAAATTGTTTGTGAACATTCTAATGTAAAAAAATTCAAACATGTGCTTCATAAATTTGCAATAATTGAGTTTTATGAATTGTTCATAAACTTTCTTGTGTAAACTATCAAACATGCACTCGTTTTTTCTTAAAAAATCAGCATGGTTACAAATGTGATATTTATTTTATACAACAGTTCAATAAACAATAAGTTAATATCTAAAGACTTACGTTTTAGACACCATATTGGCTGTTTTTGCGCTATTTCTGTGCTATTTCGTCAACAAAAAACATTCCAAACACAGCCACAGCACTGTTTTGCGTTTCTTAGCAACATGCCGTTGTTTTGTTTCTGAATGAATCAACTGTTTAAATGATTCGGTTCATTCGCAATTAATCACTTATTAACAGTGACTTGCTGCCACCTACTGGCGGTTTTAATTTCACATTTAAAGTATCTTTTCATTTTTTTAATAATTTCAAATATCAGTATTCAACATTTCATGTTTTAAATATCAAAACATTATTTATGCATTTGTAACTGCAGGCTAAAGCATTCCATGTCCCTCTAAGCTGCATTAACATATGTAAATGCATCTAAATGCCACTTCATATGCAACTTCTGCGAAGATTAATTTTATTGATACTGATTTAATTTGTTTAGTAACAGCCTAAATGTATTATTATTATAATTGACGGATTAAATGTAAGAATTTGACTCAAAAGATGATGTACACTTTCAGAAAAAAATGGCTTTATAAAGGTAAGAATGCCCATAAAAGTTAAAAATCTATTTAAAATTATTGGAAAAGATTCATTTCTATCACTGCTGTGAACTAACCACACAGAATATGAAGATTATCAAAAACTTTAGGAGTCAGCGGTCCATGGTAGTCCTTAAGATATCAGCACAATAACACACTCAGCAAAATATCGTCTAATTATCTTTATCGATAAAATCACAGAAAATATTGAGATATAATTTTTTGTCACACCCTCTAGTACTGACAAAATGATTTGCAACGGTCGCTCTGTCACGCCCAGTGTAGACAGCCTCAAACTGTTGGTGTATTTCTGTCTTTTTTGTTTTTGGCTTGTAGAAGTTATGAATGGCCAGTAACTTAAACATTTAGTAGCCAAATTGGCTGGTGAGTGAAAAAGTTAATTTCCATCCCTGATTAACATACTGCTAATAGCACATCCACAGCAATGTGAAGATGACAAAGTGCATCTGCCAGACCTGCCACAGCCAAACTGCGAACAGCAAATTCAGAAAACACTGTTCACTAATTAGTCAAATACATTTATCGCCTGCGTTGGCTTCTGATAAGAGGGGAGGCTTTGGTCCGAGTCCCAGATACATTGAGCTCTTGCTGTTACAATAATTTCAACAAGCGTTTCCACGTGACTGGCTGTGTGTTGTCTTGTCCACGTTTTCCTAACCGGAGCCGTGGAGTGTGAATCTTCGCTATCAGCTGAGCGGCAGCCTCGCGATGCTCTGTGTTCGCCTCGTTACGCAACCCAAATCAGTCCGAATTAGTCACCCCTGATTCAGCCAGCCACCAAATTAGCGTTGATTTTCTGAGCCGCATTACGAGTGCTGTCAGAATCCTGGAAGCCTTATTACAAGCGTTCATGTCTTTGAATTGGTGATGACTGAGAAAAAAAGGTGTTAGAGGAAACACGTTACGGTTTAAAAATAGTCAAAATAGCAAAAACAAGCTGCTTTCTCTGATGTGATGAGTGCTGGAACACTGCAAAAAAACGTTTTAATCTGTATCTAACAATCCTTAAAACTATTTTTTTAAGAAAAATATATTAAAACTTATTTTCAAAGACTACACTTTTTCTTACCCCACTTGTTTTGCTCTTGTTTTAAGCATAAACCTCACTTATTTGTGTGAGATATAATAAGACAATAGACAGCAAACATTAAACTATATTAAGAATACAAAGCCATGTACTCCCTGAAACGTACAGTACATGATGAACATGTGAACAAAAAAAAAAATGCTGTGTCATCTTTGTGTTGAGCAGTAGATGGTCAAAATGGCAGTAAGCAATGATGGATGATGAATCAACGCTGTTAAAATCTTTGTGGTTACATCATGTCTGGCATCCCTAAAACCTCCTGAGTCACAAAGAATAGAGAGAGAGAGAGCGCTATTGTCATGTCGTACACTAATGCTTGGTAATCCTCAGTACAGGCTTACATAAAGGGCTCTGTCAGATCTCATAGTGTCTCTGTGTGAGGAGAGCAGCACATTCAAGACTTTCACAAAGCCTCTTCTGCCTGATCATTCTTCACATCAGATCCATGGGCCTTTGCTTAGGTAACTTAAAAGTGCTCTTTGATATTCATTCATTAATCTAAGATAAAATAATTCAGAAAAGCTTCCTTTTGCATTTCAGAGGGAGGGCAAAGAAAAATGGACAATAAAACATTCTTGCATTTCTCAATTTCCATGCTAATGACTGTATAAACCGGTAGCCCCGCCTACAACTCACACCATTGGTTGAGCCAGAATAGGACAGAACACGCCTCATTTGTGAAATACAAGCACAGCAACTTCCTTTCCAAATAATTCGTAAAACTATTCTTATGCTGTTGAATATCCAATTCGAAAAATTCAAAACCATGTCGATTCTCCAATTGTCTGATTGATCAATTTGTTCTGATCATTTCTCAACCATGCAATCATTCACAGTCATGCAATTCATAAATAATTTCTGCCTGTTTCATAAATTGTTTGTGAACATTCTAATGTAAAAAAATTCAAACATGTGCTTCATAAATTTGCAATAATTGAGTTTTATGAATTGTTCATAAACTTTCTTGTGTAAACTATCAAACATGCACTTCATAAGTTTGCAATAATTGAGTTTTATGAATTGTTCATAAACTTTCTTGTGTAAACTATCAAACATGCACTAAATAAGTTCGCAATAATTGAGTTGTATTAATTGTTCGTAAACTTTGTTGAGTAAACTATCAAATGTGCACTTCATAAATTCGCAATAATTGAGTTTTATGAATTGTTCGTAAACTTTGTTGAGTAAACTATCAAACGTGCACGTCATAAATTCGCAATAATTGAGTTTTATGAATTGTTCATAAACTTTCTTGTGTAAACTATCAAACATGCACTAAATAAGTTTGCAATAATTGAGTTGTATTAATTGTTCGTAAACTTTGTTGAGTAAACTATCAAATGTGCACTTCATAAATTTGCAATAATTGAGTTTTATGAATTGTTCGTAAACTTTGTTGAGTAAACTATCAAACGTGCACGTCATAAATTCACAATAATTGAGTTTTATGAATTGTTCATAAACTTTCTTATGTAAACTATCAAACATGCCCTTCATAAGTTCGCAATAATTGAGTTTTATGAATTGTTCGTAAACTTTGTTGAATAAACTATCAAACGTGCACTTCATAAATTCTCAATAATTGAGTTTTATGAATTGTTTGTAAACTTTATTGAGTAAACTATCAAACGTGCGCTCCATACATATGCAATAATTGAATTTTATGAGTTGTTCGTAAACTTTCTTCGGTAAGCTATCAACATGAACTTAAATTCATAATACTTGAGTTTCATGAATCGCTCGCAACCATTTGATGCATAAATTAGTTCTGCTTGTTTGTTTCATGACTGGTTGTAATCATTGTATGTGAACTATTGAACATTCATTCATTTATTTATAAATTCATTATGCTTGTTTCGTGAATCGTTCACAACCATGCAATACATAAATTGTCAAATATGTGATTCGTAAATTTGTTCTGCACATTTCATTAATCATTTTTAACCATTCTTATGCGGATTATACAATTCATGAAACATTTGATAAATTTGTTCTTCTTTTGTTCAATCAACCATTTTTATGTAAATTATTGTACTGTTTACAAAATATTTGCACAGAAACTCGTTTACTAGCAGCCTGTTCAGAGAGAGAGAGAGAGAGAGAGAAAACACATTCTTGCATTCAGTCCGCGATACATTTTTAAATGGTTCCTCTATGTTCCCATGTGCCAGGTGTGTATTTCCTTAAAAATGACATACTTATGAAATATTGTACGAAGCGCACTCAAATGGTCTACTAGATCGAGGGAAGATGGTTCCATCACTGAAAGCACTATAATCCAGTCTCTCGAGTGATGCTTGCTGTTGTAGCACATGCAAACGACATCGCCTTTCCTGCCCACAGTGGAGTAGAGATAGAAGAGGAGGAGGAGGAACTCACCACATACAGCTGCTTCCACAGGACAGACCACTCCTGCAGCGTAGAGGTGACCTCTGTGATGATGGGGTCCTCCAGCGGGACCACCGTCTCATATTGCCTGAACAGAAACAACAAACATTGACCACAGGTAAGTGTGATTGCCCTCCAACGAGTAGTTACCAATGAATACTTACTTAATTTATTGATTTACTTATTCATTCATTCACTCACTCACTCACTCACTCACTCACTCACTCATTCATTCATTCTCAAATGTACTTAATCGTAATAAGCGGTTACTATATTTAAATAAAAATATTATTTTCATTCATTCATTCATTCACTCACTCATTCATTCATTCTCAAATGTACTTAGTCATAATGAACGGTTACTATATTTAAATAAAAATAATATTTTCATTCATTCATTCATTCATTCACTCATTCATTCTCAAATGTACTTAATCGTAATGAATGGTTACTATATTTAAATAAAAATATAAAAAAATAATGTTTTCATTCATTCATTCTCAAATGTACTTAATCGTAATGAATGGTTACTATATTTAAATAAAAATAATATTTTAATTAATTCATTCATTCACTCACTCATTCATTCTCAAATGTACTTAATCGTAATGAACGGTTACTATATTTAAATAAAAATTATATTTTAATTAATTCATTCATTAATTCACTCACTCATTCATTCTCAAATAAATTGTTACTCTATTTAAATAAAAATAATAACAAATAATGTTTTCATTAATTTATTCTCAAATGTACTTAATCATAATGAATGGTTACTATATTTAAATAAAAATAATATTTTCATTCATTCACTCATTCATTCTCAGATGTACTTAATTGTAATGAATGGTTACTATATTTAAATAAAAATAATAAAAAATAATATTTTCATTCATTCATTCATTCATTCTCAAATGTACTTCATTGTAATGAATGGTTACTATATTTAAATAAAAATAATAAAAAATAATATTTTTATTCATTCATTCATTCATTCATTCTCAAATGTACTTCATTGTAATGAATGGTTACTATATTTAAATAAAAAATAATCTATCTATCTATCTATCTATCTATCTATCTATCTACAAAGGTAGTTAGTAGTAATGGATGGTTAATATATTTAAATAACAATAATTTATTATTATATATTATTATATTTATTTATACAAAAAAATGACACTTTATGCATTATTATTTTCCTCAGAAATACTTAGTAATAATGAAATATGACCGTATTTAAATAAAATATAACACTTTATGCATTAAAGTATTTATGCATTTATGTATTTATTTTTTTCTCATAAATAGTTACTAATAATGAAAGATTACTATATTTGTCTGAATACTTAGGATCATGTGATATTTCAGTTTTTGAAATTTTTTTTTGTTGATATTTCAGTTTTTTAAAAATGTCAACAATTCTGTGTTTTTCTGTCAATATGGGGTGCTGTGTGTACATTAATGAGGAAGAAAAAATAACTTAAATGATTTTAGCAAATGGCTGCAATATAACAAAGAGTGAAAAATTTAAGGGGGTCTGAATACTTTCCGTACCCACTGTATATAACATTAGTGACATTTTATTTATGCATACATATTTATTTATGAATTTATTTATTCACTAATTCTATAAATACGTAATAAAATTACTATAAATTAGGGCTGTCATCGTTAACGCGTTAACGCATGTGATTAATTTTAAAATCCTTAACGCGTTAAAATAATTTAACGCAGTTAACGCAAAATTACTGAAGCACAATTTCTGTTCTAACCCTTTAACCCAATTTTGCTTCTCTGCTTGCGATTAGATCATTTTAAGCCGCTAAACTCCGGGAAGGTTTTCAGTCCAATGATCCAGTAAGCGAATGCATTGAAACAATCCGTCCAAAACAGCGCTAATATAACGAAACCAGGCTGATTACATCAGAGATTGCAGAGAGAACAGAGACTTGTGTTGCGTTTTCAGTGAATTATCCATTCCAGTGTGTTTGGCTTTTAAACACAAGCTCTGTCATATTCTGTGATTGTCTCTGAAGAGCACGAGCCCTCACATGTCACATGCGCTGAAGTACAGACTGAACGTATTGTCAACACATCCAATCCAGTATGAGTGCTCTTGACGCACTGATCGCACATTGTATTTATGCACAGGCACAGACATTTCCGTACATTCACGTTGTTTCCACACACATTCACGATAATGTTTTGATTTGTCATGTGTATGTTACTGTAGCAGATATATGCAGTCAGCCGTCGGTTGGTTTAGTTTTTTTTTTTTTTTTTTGGCATCTCCATGTGGTCCTGTTCGGTTTCGCAACTTGGCTTCTCTAAAATGTAAAAAAGCTCTTTGCTGTTGCACATACTATAAAATTCAGATTATTTTTTTCTTTCATGTGCTTATATGGGCTCATTATATCATTTGGTTCTTTGGTGTCCTTTTGGAGTTTCTAAGTGTCCTTTTTTGGAAAGACAAAAAGCTTGCAGAAAATACAGATTTTTGAGAATCACCCTTTAATCTTTTGGTTTACTTTGCTGGATATAGCAAATAATGACAAAATAAACATTTGAAACAAGATAAATGGTCTATGCATAATTTCATGAAGTGTGCGATTAATCGCGATTAATCACAAAAAAAGGGTGTGATTAATTAGATTAAAAATTGTAACAGATTGACAGCCCTAATATAAATACATAATATATTTACTACATACTATATTTAAATATGAATAAAAACATAAATTTTTTTTTATACATATAAAATAAACAGATGAAGAAAACAACAAACTCTGACCAGAGGATAGATCAATTACCCCCCAAAAGCAGGTAGAAGCAATAAATAAAATAACACAAATAGCAATTTATGTATTCTCATATAAACACATAATTTAAAAAAAAAATTTTTTACAAATAAACTTTTGTAAAATAATTCTCTACTTGCTATTTTGGTAGTAAATATGATAAAACGGAGGAAAAGACCTTTGTTAAAGTATTCCATAGGGTCTTTAAAATAACAGTGTACTGTACACAGAGCTATCATCATAAACCAATAGCACTAAATTGTCCTGCTTCATCTTCCTGCTGTCGCATTAGCTCTTCCTGTCCATTCATCTCTCCATATTGTTGTACATCCATCAGCCCTCACTGTCCTTCCTCTGTCCTTCTCTGACACACGGTGGAAACAGATTGAGCTCTTTGTTCCGCTTTATCATCACATGTGTCAAATGTAACGGCTTTCAGAGTAATTTTCTGCTTGTTTTCTGAATTCTGATGAGACGCTATAATTTGATCCTGGGACACGGGCTGAACATGGAGCGCAGAGCTCCCTCCCCGGCATTTATAGCTGAAGCTAAGCAGCAAAAACATATCATCACAGCTATTTACAGAAGCAAGTCTTAAAGCAGTGATTCTTAAACTTTTCTAGGTTTTAGAGAACTTTATGAGTAAAAAAAATGAAAGAAATATATTGCAGTTCACTAAAAACCCAAATATGGGGTCACCATACATTAAAATATGATCTATAGTTTTAAGTAATTTAGAAATTACCTTTTGAATAGCCATTTAAAAGTTTGCATGGCTGGATTAAAAAAGTGGCAGCAAACACACTATTAATGTTACAAAAGATTTATATTTCAAATAAAGGCCGTTTTTTTTCTCTGAACTTTCTATTCGTCAAAGATCCTTGGAAAAATCTTGTATCACTGGTTCCACAAAAATATGAAGCAATACAACTCTTTTCAACATAAAAAGTAAAATAAATATTATTAATAATAATAATAATAATATTCTCGAACACTAAATCAGCATATCAGAATGATTTCTGAAGGATCGTGTGACACTGAAGACTGGAGTAATGATGCTGAAAATTCCGCTTTACATCACAGGAATAAATCACATTTTAAAATATATTACAGTAGAAAACAGGTATTTTAAATTTTAATAATATTTCACAGTATTACAGCTAATTGTATTATTGTATTTTTTAACAAATAAATACAGGCTTTACATCCATCTATCTATCTATCTATCTTTTTAAATATATAAACACACACAGTATACAATCTCACACACACTCACAGACACACACACACACACACATACATACATACATACATACATA